GCCCAGAAGTGATAGTGATGGTAGTTAACTTAGCGTCTAAGGGAAGAGGAGCTGGACAATCTTGGGCAAAATAGCGAAGCGATGTGGAGAAGAAATGTTCACATTGTCACAAGTTGGGGCACGATGTTGCGAATTGCTTCGAGCTCAAAGGCTACCCAGCTTGGTACAAGGGTAGAAGAGGATGTGAGCACATTGACAAGTTCAGAGGACGAGGTCAGGCTTATGCCATGGTAGCAGGAGGAATAACCAAAGAAGGTAGCAGCGCCGACACTCAAGTTTTGTCGACGGAGCAGTTTCAGAAACTATTAAGCATGTTGGATCGCTCTGGTGATAACTCCAATAAGCTTTCTGGTAAGGATTCTAAGCAACCTACTTGGATACTTAATAGTGGGGCTTCGAATCACATGACTGGTAAGAAGGAGTTTTTGATTGATCTCAAGAATATGATCCCGATACCCGTTTATTTGCCTAATAGGATGAGAACGATGGCGACGATGGTTGGTCATATTGTTTTGAGTCCAGGAATGGTGTTAACTGATGTTCTATACATGCCATATTTAACTTGTAATTTGATATCAATTTATCAATTAATTTCTGTGTTAAATTATCAAATAACGTTTACTAATGAGCTTTGTATAATGCAGGTCCGTACCTCGAGGATGCTGATTGGAGCGGGTGAGCTTTCAGGGGGGTTATTGGTACAAAGCTATACGGACACATTCAACATTGAAAGTGAAGGGAGACAACTCACACTTAGTTTGACATCGACGACTGGGACATCAGAATAGTCGATATCTATCTTTTCATCTCGGATATTGGTCATTTCGATCCTACGAATAAGCTTATCTGTGATGTTTGTTATAGGGCAAAACAAACACGCTCTCATTTTCCTTTTAAGTTAAAGTAATACCACTTCTTGTTTTGAATTAGTTCATTGTGATTTATGGGGACCGTATTCGAAACCTGCTTCTTGTGGTGCATATTATTTTCTTACTTTGGTTGATGATTATAGTCGAGGAGTTTGGGTATATTTGTTGAGAGAAAAGAGTGAAGCTAAAAAGTTTCTTATGTTATTTTGTAAATTCATCAAAACACAATTTGATAAATCTGTGAAGCATATTCGAAGTGATAATGGCCTTGAATTTGAGGGGCCTATGCGAGCTTTTTATGCAAAAAATGGTATAGTGTATGAAACTAGTTGTACAGATACACCTCAACAGAATGGAAGAGTTGAATGAAAACATAGGAATATTCTTGAAGTAGCTAGAGCACTTCGTTTTCAAGCTTCTTTGCCTATTAAGTTTTCTAAAGAATGTATTTTAATCGCGGTTTATTTTATTAACTGCACACCCACTGTTAAACTTGATAAGAAACCGCCTTATGAAATTATATTTGGCAAGAAACCTACGTATGATCATGTCAAGGTGTTTAGATGTCTATGTTATACACACAATAATCCTAGACAAAAGGATAAGTTTGGTTCAAAAAGTAGGAAATGTATATTTGCAGGCTATTCACATGGCAAAAAGGGTTAGCAACTTTATGATTTGGAGAAAAATAAGTTTTTCTACTCAAGGGAAGTATCTTTTCATGAAGATGTTAGACCCTAGAGGGGGGGTGATTAGGGTCTTATGCTAATCTAATCCGATTTAAATGCCAATTAAAATTAATTAATGAGTTATCCTAGCAAGTATGAAATACAATAATATATGTGAGCTAGGATAAACAATATGAACAAGGGATATAAAACAAATGGTGATATAAACATAAATAAGATAAACAAGATAGTGGATAATATGAACTAAGAGTAAATGACAATGGCGATATAAGATATGAGTATGAATATAAATGAACGCCAAAGCACACTCAAACACACTATATGATCACGGAGTTCGGACCTTCCGTCCTACGTCTCCGCTCCCCACTCCCGGGGAGAAATCCACTAACACAATCCGGTTTGGAAGCCGGAACTTCTTCTACACACTCGGTTTTCTAGTTAACCGAAAACTCTACAACTCACACTATGCAATCACACTCTACACCTACTAAGTGTTGGACCTAGCCGTGTCTCCCTCAAGTGCTCGGTTACAACCTCTCCCTAGGCACGTCAACCGACGCCACTCCTCTTGGGACGATCCCCGACTCTCACCACACACTCCTCACTCGGTGTACAAGTGTATTACAAAGTGATTCTCACAATAAGCACAAATATGACAAATGATTGTTCTCAAAACAAGGTGAGAACTCAATTAAGCTCACTCTCAATGTCACAAACCCACAACCCTAAATTATACTATGAATGTAAATACAATAAGCTCAAAAGGTTGTGTGTGAACAAAGAGATATAAATCAAAACTAAACTCAAAAACTTCTCAATAGATCAAGAGTGGAAGGAGAAGAGTTGGATGCTCAAACACCAATAGATGATCTCCTCAAGCTCTTGTGGAAGTGATTCACAAAACCAAAACACTCAAATGCTTAAAAGCTTATAAACACACTTAAACCAAACATAAACCCTTGATTAAAACTTTCTTAAACTTGTTTTTAAACTCTCTTGGTTTTCTTGAAAAGACATCAGCAATGGGGTATATATACCCTCTGAAAACTCAGCCAAAAACACCCAAAACAAAAGACAGAAAAGCCCCCAGAAATCTGCTCAGGAAATAGCCGTTAGGAGCCAACGGCTCTTTTGTCGGTCGACCGGAAATCTCGTCGGTCGACCGATGGAAAGCATTCGGTCGACCGATGGCAAATCCGGTCGACCGCGAGCAGGTCTGAAAAGACTGGTTATCAGAAAGGACTTCCCAAATGAAAAATATCATCATTTTGCAAGATAGTCCAAAACACGAAAATGTAAACATGTGAATTTTGATATTTTGGCTAAACCAACATTTGAAACTTTACAAAATGATTTTATAGACTTGAAGAAAGATGTAAACTATTGTTATGAAGTCTATAAATAATGAATGTAGTATTTTATCAAAATACACATATAATGCACTAAAACATGATTTCATTTAACTAACTAAAAATTGATATTGATGAAATCATATATATGCATATGAGTATGAAACAAAAATATGTTTTCTAATTATATTCAATTGTTTCATAGTAAAACTTGAAAACTATCAAACCAAAATATATATGTATATATATAACTATATATATACAAAAACCAAAACGTGTATGTGTGTATATGATTGAGCTTAAGATACTTAACACACATAATATAAAACCTAAACTAAGTTACCCAAGCTAGATCTTGATCTTCAATAAGCTCTTCTTGGTAATCTTGCGGATGAAGCTTGAACTTGGATCTTCAAATTGAATTTACATAGCTTCAACCACTATTCCGCCAACCTCCTTTGGATATCATCGTTGAAGCTCTATTCCATCCATCCTCCAACTACGTTGTTTGTCTACAATAAATAAGAATACACAAACACTAGACAAACAACATTAGTAGTAAATTGTTTGTAAATCATCATCAAAACAAGAAGGCCAACAATGTTTTTCCATTTGCTCAAGGTGATAAAGTGCTTAAATCTAATGCTCGTAATGTTTCTGATCATGTTTATGGGTTGTATGATGATTTCAGTTGTGATGACGAGATAATTGAGGAACTTGAAGCAACTCATAATGTTGATACTCGAGATGAGGCAGAAGATACGAGTCTAATTAGTGAGGATGATGCGAGCCCGGTTCGTGAGGTTGTAGCTCAAGCCGAAGAGGTGGCAAGATGGCCAAAAAGAGAGAGTAAAACATTGGCGTGTCTCGAAGGTTTTGTCCTTTATTCAGTAAGCACTGGATGGGAACGAAGTGCCCAGCTAGAGTTTGGGCAGCGTCATACACACGGATATAGAGAAATACACAATTGTGCACAAATTAATTCTGGGCAGCCAAACCTGGACAATGCACACGGCTGTGAAGAAGTACACATCTATGCACAGGTGAATTCTGGGCATCCAAACCTGGATAGCAACAATTCAATAATGAATTCTGAGCAGTGACATGCACAGCAACAACGTGTGCGCGGCTATACACACGGCTTGGATGGTCTGAGTGCTACAAGGTAGCAGCGTGCACGACTCCCTGGCACACTAATGCACGAGTGTACACGAGACAAAAACATATGGGCAGAGGTCCAGTAGGTTCGGCTGAGCAGTGATGATGTTTTGTCGACGGCAGAGGTCAAACAGGTTCAAATGAACACTGATGATATTTTCTTCAGCCAATCATGCAGCTTCTTTGTCTCAAAAATCTAAAGTTTTAGCTTAAAATGATAGCATTTACCCCCCCCCCCCATCCCCCCCCTCCTCTAAGCTACCGCGACATGAAAGCGACTCAGGTATACCTTATTCCTTAGCTCGTTACGTAACATTTGATAATTTGTCACAGAATGATGGATGTTTTGTTAGAGCTATTACTTCGGATGTGTAACTGAAATCGTATCAGAGGCAGTTCAGAATGAACGATGGCGTGAAGCGATGGCCAAAGAAATCGAAGCACTTGAGACCAATCAAACCTGGACACTTGAGGTGCTGCTTAAAGGAAAGAAGCCAATAGACTGTCGTTGGGTTTACAAAGTTAAGCGCAAAGCGGATGAGACCATGGAACGGTACAAAGTGAGACTTGTTGCTAAGGGATTCAAACAAGTAGAGGGACTCGATTTTCATGAGACGTTCACACCAGCTGCAAAGCTTGTTTCAGTTCGAGTTTTTCTTTTAGTGGCAGCAGCGCGAGGATGGGAACTACATCAAATGGACATGAATAATGCCTTCCTACATGGAGACCTCGATGATGAAGTATACATGAAACTAGCTCAAGGTTTTCGAACTGATTGTGGAGATCGTGTTTGTCGCCTTCGTAAATCTATTTACGGACTACACTAAGCTTCACGAAATTGGTTCAAAAAATTGACCGGAGCACTTAAGCGGTATGGTTTTTCTCAATCCTTGGCTAATTATTCATTATTTACTTATTGTCGACATGGCGTGTTCATGGGTCTTCTTGTGTATGTCGACGATATCATATTAGCTGGGAATAATTATGATGAATGTGCAACTTTCAAACGCTACTTACATAAGTGTTTTCATATCAAGGATTTGGGTTCTTTAAAAAAATTTCTTGGCATTGAGGTTGCTCGGTCGCAGATTGGCATCTCCTTGTGTCAAAGGAAACATGCCTTGGAGATTCTTGCTGAGACAGGCTTACTTGAAATTAAGCTGGTCGAGACACCTATGGAGCAGGGCCACAAGCTTGCTCTAGTCAAGGGGGAGGAAACAGACGATGCAAGCTATCGACGACTTGTAGGTCGCTTGATCTATTTAACCATCACACGTCCAGAGATTTCGTATGCAGTTCATGTTCTTTCCCAATTTGCTCAAGCACCTCGCAAAGAGCACTTTGAGGCAACAATGCGAGTTGTGAGATACATCAAGGGAAGTCCAAGCCAAGGGATTCTTCTGTTGGCCTTCTTGTTTTGATGATGATTTAACAAATAATTTATGACTAATATTGATTTTAGTATTTTGTTTTGTGTTGTTTAGTATACACAGAAAAATGAGCTACATTGATATTGAATTCTATGCAAATCAAGTCAACTAATCAAGTTCAAGCTTCATATGATTCATTCTTGGTATACTTAGTATAGGTTTATATGTAATGTGTGCAAATTCTTCAAGCTCAAATTTACACACACACTTAGTTGTGATATTTCTCAAATCATAGGTGTTTTTATGCAAAATATGTTTTAATACGCTTTGACTATACAAACATTATTAACATCTGTTATTAAGTCCATAAAAATATTACACAAGTTTTTAGAACTTAATTTGAGCTAAATATCAAAATTAACATGTTTATAAACATATGCATTTTAGTGTTTTTGAATATTTCTGAGATTTCACAAATGGTAAGAGCAAATTAAAGAATTCCATTTCCAACATGTTCATATTCATGTTTATAAAATTTTTTCAAAGTTTTATATTTTTATAATTTATTTGTTATTTTTAAAAGATGTTTGAAATTCGTGTTTACTATTCATTACATGCTGAAAACTTATTATCACTTGACTGGTGATTTTTATCAATCGACTGATGAAATTGCCTGTAATCTTTAAAAGTTTTTGTTTTTTTATTCGGTCGATTAATCAGTCGACTGATGGGTCATCAGTCGACTGATGAACTCTTTAGTCGACCGACGAGTTATAGTTGCATGTAACGGTCAGCTCGTCAGTCAACTGATTCAGCTCATCAGTCGACCGACGCCTGTAATGGCTAGGTTTTCTAGACTTTTGTATTTTTATCTTTTTGTTGGGTTTTCTTGGTTTTTGGGCTTTGGTTTTCATCCTATTAATACCCCTCACTATTTCAGTTCTGATGTAAATCTAGGAGGGTTTTAACAAGAATTTTAAAGGGTTTTAAAGTTTGTTTCTTCTCAAGTTTGAGTTTGGTGTTTGTTTACAAAAGAGGAAGCTTGCATTTTCAATGGAGGAATTCATCCTCAATCTTCTTCATCCTCTTTCGTGTTTATAGAGAAGTTCTTCGAACTCTTTTATCTAGCAATTTATTACTAATTTTTATATTCATATTATTACTAGTTTACTAATTGAGTTAGATTTTATTTGAACTCATTTTATCACACACACCCTTGTTTGAGCTTTTAGCATTTATTACATTATATATTGGGTTGTGGGATTGTGACATTATGAGAATGAGCTTACATTGTGTTCTCATCTATTATAGAGAACAAATACTGTAATTGAGTCTTATTGTGAGTTATACATTGTAATAGGAGTGTGTGGTGGGAGACGAGGTCGATTCCAAGAGGAGTGGTGTCGGTTGTAAATCCTAGAGAGGTTGTAAATTCAAGTACTTGAGGAAGAGGACACGGGCTAGGCTAACACTTAGAAGGTATAGAGTGTGTTTACCTTGTGTGTGTTGTAAATGTTTGTCAGTGAGCGTTGAAAACCGATTGTGAACGTTTTTGGGTGAACGCTGAAAACCCATTTTTGATAGTGAATTCTCCCCGAGAGTGGGGAGCGGAGTCGTAGGTCAGAAGGATCGAACTACGTGATCATATTATTGTGTTTGGTTTGCTCTTTGTGTCCACTATTTATTTATATTGTTTCTTGTTTATTTTTGCCCTATCCTTACTTTAATTCAATCGAAAATCTATGTTGATAGGATATATTTGTTAATTAGTTTTAATTGGTATAAAATCGTAATTAGATTAGCTTTGACCTTATTCACCCCCCTAGGGTCCAACATCTTCTATGATCTATTTACGATTTGAGATTATGAGCCTATTGCGATTCAGATTGGGTGAGACGTCCAATTACTCGTCGCTCAGTTAGTGGCTACTTCATCACAATTGGGGAGTCACCCATTTCATAGAAAATGAAGAAACAGAGCACCGTCTCGAGATCATCGACAGAAGAAAGTATCGAGCTATGGCAGCGACGCAACGAGGTGAGCTTATATGGTTGAAGTCGTTGTTGACTGTATTTTTGGTGGATCATAGCCGATGGAGCTATTTTGTGATAATCAATCGACTATTCACATAGTACCCAATCCAGTCTTTCATGAGCGGACAAAGCATATTGAGATAGATTGTCATTTTGTTTGCGAGCAAGTGCAGGCTAGAAACATCGTTATGGAGCACATCCGTTCACAGTTCCAACCAGTGGACATTTTCACGAAGGCACTTGCTAGACCACAGTTTCATTTCCTGTTAGGCAAGTTGGGCATTCACGATGTGTATGCGCCAACTTGAGGGGGAGTGTTGATGATACGATATTATCGGTTAGTGATACTTTGGTTAGTTGGTTAATTATAGATAGGAGTTATATGCAGTTAAGATAGGTTGTTATCTTGTTATTAGGAAGTATAAGTTGTAATCCTCAGACTTTCGGTAATGAAGAAATTTCTTTCTCTGTTTTTATAGTCATCATCTGAAATTCTACGCAAACTAGGAAATATAGGTCGTCTCTTAAACTATCTATAAGATATATAGGAGATCTCACTCCTAAAAACGATATGCTGCTAGAGAAAGAAAATCAACTCTTTTATAAACTAATAATTAGCTCCTTATTTAGTTATTGCGAATCTAAAGAGACTATAGCAGAAGTAAGTCGTTAGAACAGATTCTCTACATGTTTTGATACGGGTGTATCTTCTCTTCGGGAGCTTAGCAATCCTCATGGGAGCTTGAGCATAGATGATTCTCATGGTATCTTGAGAATAGAGTAGAGGAGTCGTGGACGAGGTCATTGGAGGCGGCGAAGTCAAAGGATTCGTCAAACTGCAGGAAGTACAGTTTGGGTTCTGTCCGATCGACCGCATGTGTTACTGCGGTCGACCGCATAGTGCACAGACCCAGATTGTGTCTCTAGACTGAGAGCGGTCGACCGATGTAGGCACTGCGGTCGACCGGAAACCCTGTTATCGATTTTTCCAGAAATCTATGTTCTGGCCGATCGACCGACTTGGTCACTGCGGTCGACCGCGTAGCGGTTATGGGCCTGGGTCTGTTTCCTGCACCGTTTAGAATTTCTGTTTAGTATAAATAAAAACACGACTTTTCTAGGGTTTATCACTCAGATTGTAATCAGAAAAGAGATCAGGGAGGTTGTTTTTTGATCTAGAGAGATTGTGAGAGAAAGATTTTGTAAATCCAATTGATTCTCATAATCTAGAGAATGTATTTTCTTTTGTCCTAATTATAACTCTTGTGTTCTTCTGTCGTTTTCTTCTCTACCCACTCTTGATAATTCCACGATCAAGAGTGCTCGCACGGCAACTCGTATCAAGTTAGTATCAGAGCACCTAGATCTTGTGAAGGGGAACCTGTGTATGGTTCTTACTCGCTCACAGTACAAGAAGCTTGGCGAGATTCTTATTTCCTTGGAGGGAGTCCAGAAATTAAGGAAGGAGAAGATGACTGAAGCAGATAATTCAGCAAGACTTGATGCCATGGAGAAGCAAATTGAGACGATCGGGATGACTCTTACTCAACTCGTGGGTCTCATCAATGGAGGAGACAAAAAGGAGGAATCTTCTTCGAAGGGTAAGAAGAAACTCATCGAATCCGACGAAGAGAGCGAGGAACCTGATTCAGAGGGGGAGACTGAGATTGTCAAGACTGTTGGACATCAAGGGGGTAAGAATAATTACCAGAATCTGAAGATTGACTTCAAGATTGAGATTCTTGTGGAGAAGCTTGATGATTGGATCGAACGTATGGAGATGTACTTCACCCTCTACGGATATTCGTCCAAGGAAAAGATAGTGTTCGCGACATTGAAGCTTTCAGGACACGCGTTGACGTGGTGGAAATCCTTTTGCAAACAGGAGAAGAAAGCGGCGTCGTGGAACAAGTTCAAGGAGCTACTTCGGAAACAGTTCTATCCAGTGGGGTTCCTTGAGGAGCGTTGGTACAAGTGGTATGGCTTGCGTCAAAAGTTTAATCAGACCGTTCAACAGTACACGACGGAGTTCCAACAGCAGGCGATGGTTCTAAACATCGCAACGGACGAGTACTCCATCTTCATGAAGTATATGGCGGGTCTGAATGATTACATCCGGAAGGAGATGAAGGTGTTTTTGGTTGAGACAATCGCAGAGGCGAGCGTGAAGGCCATATCCATTGAGGGCAGGCAGAAGAAGAGAAACGAGACAAAGGAGGATTCCAAACCATCGGGGAGCAAGACGGGTGGCTCTCAGTCTAAGGATGAGAAGAAGAAGGGTGATTCGGGGAAAACAGGATTAACATGCAATCACTGCAAACAGACAGGGCACGTGGCTGATCATTGATGGGATAAGTATCCTCATCTGAAGCCAAAAGGGTTGAAGAAGAAGGAGGAGAAGAAGGCGTACGTGATAGCACAGGTTCCGAAGGAGGTTCCCGGGATGACTGAACCTAATAGCAGTCTCAACCTTATAGTGGGGAAGCAGGCCACTCAAGAAGATGACGACCCGAGGAAGCAGCTCTTTGTTCTGAAGTTACAGGTCAAGACCAGTTTAGTGGATGCTATTATAGATATAGGGAGCCAGAAAAATCTGATATCTGAGGTATTAATACAGAAGCTGGGATTGAAGACGGTGAAGTATCCGAAGCCCTATCCATTAGGGTGGATTCAGAAGGAGGCGGGATTGAGTGTGGTGAACCAGTGTTCATTCAGATTTGCACTCCATGAGTCGTATATTGATGAGGTCACATGCGATGTGGTTCCGTTGGATGTTTGCCAAGTTATTTTGGGCAATCCTTATTTGTGGGATAGATACGCAGTATATGATCGGCGAGCCTAAAAGTATACGTTCACCAAGGATGGCGAGCAATTCATTTTTTGTTCGGCATCTCTTCCACAGGAGACGAGCTTGGTGACAGTGACTCAGGCTAAGAGGTTGGTGAATGCGGGCAGGAAGTTCGTTTTATTGTTCATTCGGTCGTATGAAGAGCAGCTGAGTAGGATGTGCTTGTCCAG